GGGGTTGGTCACCACCACATGAGGAACTGTATTAAAGGCTCGTGGCCTTTGGAAGGTTGAGAACCACTGTCCTGGGGCTCCTTGGAGAAAGAAGGAAGGGTTAGTAGAGCTCGCCACCGTGGAGACCCTATGGAACAGTTCTCTGCTTGGGGGAGGGTCACTGTCAGTGGTGACAGGTGTGGCTTTGAGTTTGAGAGAGATGGGTGGTTATTCAGGCTTTCGGTCCTTGCTGTCATAGATGGGCAGTAGGAGACTGGTTTTTAGGAAAGCCCAACTTTTCAAATGGAACCGCTTTAATTTGGATGTGATATTGCAGTATAGCAGAGCAATAATTCTTAAGCTCTTTGGTCTCAGGACCTCTTTTGATGCTATACTCTAAAATTTTTCCCTTCCCACTCTCCGTTATATGGGTTGTGCTTTTCTAAATTACCATATTAGGAATTAGAACTGAGGAATTTATAAAATGTTTTAAGTTCATTTAAAGTAGCAATAACAAACCAATTATGTTAGCAGAATAGCATTTTGAATGACATTGTTTTTCCTCACCTAAGATAATTAGTGAAAAGATTGACATTGTTTTATACACTTTTGCAAATGTAAGTTTAATAGAAGATAACCTGGGTTCTTGTATCTATTTCTGTGTTCAGTGTTGTTTGGTTGCCATGTGAGGAATGTCTGTTAAGTGCTATTGAGTTGGTTCAGCTCATTAATGAATAGAATTGCTTGGTCTTTATCATTCCCACAGTTGTCGTGCTCGCAGCCACTTGTCATCCCATCTTGTTTAGGGTCTTCCTCTTTTGCCGGTTATCTACCGAGCATGATTCCTTTCAAGGGATTGCTCTTTCCTGTAGGAGAGACCCTGCAGTAAATGAGGTGTGAAGTCTTGCTCTCCCTGCTTCTAAGGAGCATTCTGGTTGAACTTTCAAGACACAGGATGTATTTGGTCTTTTGGCAGTCCATAGTGCATTCTGTATTCTTTGCTAGCACCATAATTCAGTGCATCATTTCTAGCCTCACACATATTTGTAGTTAGGAAAGTGTTTTTTATTCCGCCCCCCCCGCCCCCCCCAATTGTGGACATTGTTCTTTAGTTCGCCAAAACTCAGCAAGTGATAGTTCTCTAAAAGTAGTTGCAATATGGAATATGAAACCACATCAGTGAACTTTTTGTATTCCTGTATATTAAACCCACTGGTCTAGCATGCACCTTAAATGAATATTTTATCTGAATGATTTTGTGAGATTAGGCATTTTCCATATGGAAAATGTATTCATTTGAGCAATGTAAATCTTCCAAATGTTGATATATTTTATTAGTCTTTTCTAAATCACAGTTGGTAACCTCACCACTAATCTTACAGAAAAGCACTAAGTGTTGAGAAGTTGTTGAGCTTACCATGGCAGTTAACAGATTTTCCAAATTCTTATTTTACATAAAAGGTGGTAATTCTAGCATGAACCACAGATACTCTTGATTGAAGAAAAAGAGTGCTAAATGCCTGAGTTCTTATAAATTGTGAGTAGTTTTTCTAACTAAAATAGTTTCATCAATTCTATGTAAGTTGTTCAGTTAGTGTTTCCACTGTAGAATATATTCTCATTACATTCTGGCAGTTGGTTCTAATTAATCTAGTTTCTTTGTCCGCTTGCCATCTCATCGTGTTTTTTTTTTTTTTTTTAAGTAATTGCTGACCATTTGGTCTCAGGTAATATTTTAGAGGAGCACAGCACAGAGGTGACAGCCATTTTTTAAAAAGCTAATTTGTTATTTAGCTACAAGGTGACCTCAGGGATTAATTTCAGTTCAAGGTTTGAAGACTGCCTCCGGGCAGTAGCCTTTGGGAGTCCTCACCTCTCAGCTAGTGCCCTTCAATAGGGCCTTAATGCTCATTTGACTAGTTGTCAGAATATTTTTTTAATGGTTTCTGTTCAACTGCTGACATAAAGGCTGGCAGTTTGAACCCACCCAGCCAGCACAGCAGAAGCAAGCTTTGTGATCTGCTCCAGAAAAGATGACGGCCAAGTATGTTATACAGTAATCTCTACATGAGACTGTCACTGAGCTGGACTTAAATCATTGGCAATGGATTTAGGTCTCTGGTTTTATAATGTTTCAAATTTATGGAACCATGGCTTTAAGTACTTTTATTCTTTCCGTATTGTTCTAGCATTTGGAAATAGAGTTCAGGGATGCTGAATTTACCTTTTGTCTTTTCTGCATACTTCTGTTCTAAGAGCTGCATTGCCCCCCT